TTAGAAATTTTATTAATTGCTTTTTTTTATAGATTGCTGAGACAGAATGTCTTATTGATGGAATTTTAGCAAAATTAGAAGAACTCTGTACTGTAGTTGAAATGGTTAGTTAACTATTGCTATTGTTTTTGTTATATATATACAGGGCCAGCGCAAGGGCCATGCGATTTATCCAGTCACATAGGGCGCCGGTGTTGCTGGGGGGCCACACTGGTGTAGCCATTGTTTTTTTTTCTTTGCTTTTTTTAAATCATTAAAATTTAAATTTCGATTTAAATAAAAATAAACTTATATAACATTTTTAAGCATTCATAATGTGTATATGTACTGAGTTGTTTACATATTAGAAGCGTTAAACTTTATATGCTAGTATAATGATTTTTTACATTTTTTCATAGCACTTCAATAAAAAAATAGTTTGATCCAGGATAGCATTTGTATTTGCTTCTGCATTTCAATGAAAAAAATAATCACTGCAAAAAGTAGTAGTTAGTTGATAATTTGAAAGTATAAGTTTTTGAGTCTTTATGGCCGAAAAAAAAAGAAACCTTTAGGTTTTTTTTTATAGAAATTGCAAATCAGATATGGAGGGAGAGGATAAAAAACAAATAAATACATTGATTAAATTTTTCTACAGACTGGAAAAACAAGAACCAAACAATAATCAGCATCAATTGCAGATAAGATATGATATAAAAGTGAATTTATTACAACAAACTTTGTTAATAAATACAAAATAATCATAAGTTACAAAATAATAGGTTACTCTTTGTTAAACCTTTTTTTTTTTAATGTTGATTTTAGGTGCCCCAAGAAGTCCTTATGGTCTTATCACAGAGCACCTCGGAAAAGCACTTAATAGGAAGTTCACGCCTCCTTCCCAACCGATGACGCAAAACTTGCCCAGAGGTGGGGTTTGAACCACAGATCTTACGTTTTTGAGGCAAGTGTGCTACCACTGCGCCACAGCTGCTTTTAATTTTAATAAAGCCTTAATAACCATTGTTTTCTATTTTTATAATGTTATTTTCTTGATACTCTGTGTAAGTGCAAAAGACGTCAGGAAATTATTTACAGTTTTAAGATTTAAAAGCCAATTTTGATGAAGCAATTGAAACTATATTTTTTTCTATACAAAGCACTTTAATTTACAACTAATTACCAGTAAAAGTACAACATTTAATTTTTATTTATAGTTTAGCCTTTTCTTGAAAAAATAAAACGAATAAAAATACAGTAAATTATTTTGTTTTAAAACAAAAACTTTAGTTTTAATTGCTCTCTTTATATTGTTCAGTTTTTTGGTACTCAAGGATAAGCTTTTCTTGGAACTAGTGTAACAGTTTTCAAAGAAAATAATGAAAACGTTTTAAAACTTTTTAATCATATTTCAAAATTTGACATTGTTCTTTCTGAACATCTTTGTCAGGTAACTGCCTAAATAAATCATGTGCATTCTTTAAGCAAAAAAATTCAAAATGAGTTTATTAGTCTTCTTTCCGGTAAAGTTATTGAGTTTATCTTGTGTGAACTGCAGAATATTAAGTATTATTCTACAAATCTAGACTGAACTCCTGACGTAATTTGTAAAGAGAAAAATTGTTTTATTTATGCCGTTGCTGGAGAAGAAGTAAAGGTGAGGGGACATTTTCTTGGATGTCCATGTCTCAGAAATATCTGGGCAAGGGTTGACAGCTTGCTTGTTGGACAAGCTTTTAAAGATAAGGAACATCCTTACAAAATATACATGTCAAAGGTTTTATAATAGATCAAACATAATGGGAAAGAACGTAGGTGTACATAAAAAGATCCTTGACCTTGACCCACAAGCTTTTTTATTTCTTGTGAAAGCTATTCACTAAAACTCGTTGTCAATGATGCAGCATTTTCCTGCACTCTACCTTTTAACTTTTTTAGCATACTCAGGATATGACTTTTTCTCTGGATCAAACCTTAAATGGAGTACATTAACAAATTATATTAAAAATTTAACTATTAATCCTTCAAGTAAAACCCGTTAGAAGAGCAGGATAGATGCACTTAATCCTTTGCAATACCACATTGATGAGGTTTATGATGCTGTCTAATTAAAAGATTTTAAGATTTATGCTTTTGGAAAATGTACGCTATAGGAATGGCCAAGAAAACTGCAGATTTCAAATTCTTCTACTTTTTGGTCTCTCAATATGATGTCTCGTTCAAATTTAACTTAGAGAAAGGAAAACTGTTAATCTGTAAAGCACTTTGAAACTAATTAAAAGTGTTAAAACTTTTTTGGAGAACATGAGATCAGAAAATGGGCTGTATATTGTTATTATATATGCCTTGGAACTCGTAGAAAAATAGGACATCAATCCAAGGCCATCCTGAAAATATCTTGAACAAACATTTGCTGACTGGCAACTATAGATCCAATTTTGCCAACTCCAGTGTATATGTCGACTAAAATTTTTGTAAGGAAACTAGTCACCCTCCTACTCTCCCCTTTTAGACGCCTCTGCTTTAATCTAAAGTTCTCTGATGAAGTTGTGGTCAAGCCAAGAAAGATCAAAAAGCAATTTTATCACTCGGTGTAGTTAAGGCGATTTACAAAATATTCGAATACTTTTATTTGGAATTAGCATAGTTTTGTCAGCATATTATGTCCAAACAAGATGTTTTAATGTTATAATTTTTTTTACTTAAGGTTTTTAAAATATTTAAAGAAACTTTTCTTTTTTTATATATAATTTTCAAAACCTTTTTACTACCCGTAATAGTGAATCTAAAGAACACTATTCTGGAGTCTTTGGATCAATTCCGCTCATCGGCATTAACATGAATTTAGTTAAAATTTTTTGAAAAAGTTTGTTAATTTACTACTGATCCTAGTTCTAATCAGTTCTGACGTATATTAACTATATATAGTTGTCAAAATACAATATTTCTACCAATTTTCACAAAAAATACTAGAATTCCGACCAAGAAAGAGCTTTTAGTTATGGAAAATTACCAATAAGCGATCAGAACAGATCATATTCTTAAACTATAATGTTCATTTTACCTAAAAAATGTATTAGTATAAAATCTTATTCAAATTTGAACAAGCGATTGTGATTTTAAGATAATTAAAAAAAAAAAAAAAAGAATCTTCGGTCTGGGTTTTTTCTCTTCAAACATTTATTTTTATGATTCCACAAAATTTATCATGTTTATACTTTTCGTCTTTTTATAATTCACAGACCAGACCATTTAACGGAAATATGTCGTAGTCAACTAAATATCATACAGATGCTATAATATTTTAAAAGTGCCTTAACTACACCAAGCATGAAGATGAACCTGTGAAGTTGGCAATTTTTTTAAATTACAATTTTTTTAAATTGTAGTTTTAGATACTGCAACTAATGAAAGGTTTGAAAAGATGATAAATCACAGTAAACATTCTTTATAACATAAAACATTAAAAATGTGAATCTTATGCAATTTGAAAAAAAGTGAAAATTTTGCGCTTTGTTTTGACTGTTGATGGCAAGAGTGGCATCAACAGGAACAAACTGTTAGGTGAAACTATAATCTTAGCTCCAATGTTGCCAAATGATAGATAGAACAATAGCTTCCCCAAAACAACATTATCATTGTCAGCATTTTCAAAACTGTTTGATTGACATTATTCCTAATGTGTGCGTAGTATTAAAAATTTTGCTTTTGCTCCGGGTATCAGTGGCCAGTGGAGAAAGGAGTTTTTCTAAATTAACAATTTTCAGAAAAAAATTATGTTAGTAAGACTTAATTTATTTCTATTTAAAAACCTATAAAAATATAAATTCTCAAAATATAAAACAAAAATTTTTTTAACAGATGCACTATTTTGTAATAGAGGGCGCCAAACCGTGATCTCGCATATACCGAAAAAAATCCTTGAACTGTTATATATATGTATATATATATAGATAGATAGAGAGAGATGTTAAAAAAATGTGTTTTTTTGCTATCATGTATTATTCACCAAAAATAATGATAATTCAGTAGATGAACGTAATTCCTTCCACCAGTTTGGACCAAACATTAGGTCCATAGCTGTTCATTTAAAAGTTTTTGAAAAAACTCCTCCTTTACATTGGTAATTTGGTAAATTAGCCATCAAAATATCTATGTTGGTATTCGGTGAGTTTACAGCAATTGAATATATTACTTCACATCCATCAATCTGTAAAAATAATTTAGATATTGCATTAATGGTTTTATTTAGTTTCATAAAAATAAACAAAAGTTACTAATAATTTAACCTTTTGTTCCCCATAAAATATCTTCCTTGATATTTGGGTTCAAGTAGATTAGCAGCCATATGAATTTTTGTAAGCAAAATTTTTTCTTTTAGCAATTCTACTTCCTCATTTTTTGTTTTGAATAATATTATTTTCTAAATTATAAAAGATTTCAACTATAGATGACAGCATTTGACTGTATGTTTCTGTTATCTTGATTGCATCAGATTAACAATTAAAAACTAATATACTGCGCAAAAAAAAAAAAATCTTGATACCTTTTCATATTGTTTCATGCTACCAAACATTGAACAAGATTTACCACTTTTAGAAATTGGCTCTGAATGTTTTAAAGGGTCTGAAATAATGTTTGTAACATTTGTACTATTACAATGTTTACTTAAGTTAAGGTTTTTAAATTTGCATTTTGCTATATATATATATACATATATATATATATATATATATATATATATATATATATATATATATATATATATATATATATATATATATATATATATATATATATATATATATATATATATATATATGTATATATATATATATATATGTATATATATATATATATATATATATGTATATATATATATATATTTTATTTTAACGCATACAGGGGGAAACCTGTTGAACAAAAAGAATGAGTTGGTTTCAAATTGTAGGCATAAAAATAAATTCCTTCTTTCGTTTTATGATACTGGCGATTAGCTGATTAATATAAGATTTTCTTTGACGTTTTCTTTTTTTGTCTCTATAGAGACGTCAGATGTCGCTCCACTGTATTTTGTAATTTTATTAACAGTTTGTTTGTTTTTGATATAGTACATGGCTGATGA